CAACAATTCCAGCACCAATAACAATACCAACAATAATAACAATAATAATAATAGCAACAATAATAACAGCGCTGCGAGCGGCGCTGCTGCTGCGGCTGCGGGTGGTGCTGCTGGCGGCGATGGCGAGAAGAGCGACGCGCTAACCAGCAAACAGCGATACCAGATCAAGCATCGGGAGCTGTTTCTATCGCGCCAAGTTGAGTCGATACCCGCCACACAGATCCGAGGGAAGTGCTCCGTGACGCTGCTTAACGAGACGGAGTCACTGCAAAGCTATCTCAACAAAGACGTGAGTTGAATGGAATAGAAAATGAATGAATTAGTTAAAATTGATTACATAATTTTTAAATTTCCATAGGACACATTCTTCTACTGTCTGGTCTTTGATCCGAATCAAAAAACGTTGCTTGCCGACAAGGGCGAAATACGTGTCGGCAGTCGCTATCAGTGTGATATACCCGCCAAGCTAAAAGATACCGCCACAGATGAACGTAAACTGGAGGAGCTGGAGTCGCTTGTTTGGACGCCGGAGCATAGTTTGACCGATCGCAAAATCGATCAATTCCTTGTTGTCTCGCGTTCCATTGGCACCTTCGCGCGCGCCCTCGACTGCAGCAGTTCAGTAAAGCAGCCCTCGTTGCACATGTCCGCAGCTGCAGCTAGTCGAGACATTACGCTGGTGAGTGGATGACGATAAAATTAATGAAGGGCAAGTCCATTTAATAATAATTATGATTTACCTCTGCTTCTAGTTTCACGCCATGAACATTCTGCACCAGCACAATTATTCAATTGATGAGGCCATGTCCTCGCTAGTTCCTTCCACTGGGCCAGTGCTCTGTCGCGACGAAATCGAAGATTGGAGCGCATCGGAAGCAAATCTCTTTGAAGAAGCGCTAGATAAATATGGCAAAGACTTCAATGACATACGACAAGATTTTGTAAGTCAAAGGAAGTTGTACACAAAATTATCTTTAGTAATATTATATTCCCATTTAACAGCTTCCTTGGAAGACGCTTAAACAGATCATTGAGTACTACTACATGTGGAAGACCACCGATCGGTATGTGCAGCAGAAACGCGTTAAGGCTGTCGAGGCGGAACTCAAGCTCAAACAAGTCTATATACCGCAATATAATAACAATGGCAAAGGCAACGGTACCAGCGTGAAGGGCGGCAGTGGCGGCGGAGCTGGTGGCATCTACAACGGCACCACCAATGGCGGCGCTGACTTATCCAACAATGGAAAACCGTGCGAGTCGTGCGGGACAACTAAATCATCACACGTAAGGCAGTTGAAGGCGAAACTTGTTGATCAACTATTACTAATTGACTCATCTAATTTGATTACAGTGGAATTCCTTTACCAATGGCCATCTGCCATGTCGATTATGTCAGAGCTGTTGGGAGTATTGGCGGAAATATGGCAGTATGAAATCTGCGCATAAGGCCGAAGCTAACGATGGCGAGTCCAAGAAGAAGGCTGCCATTGCCGCAGCGACTCCAGTAGCAGCGTTAGCTGCAGCAGGCGCCACAACCACTGTGGTTGATCTTAACGATGATGACAAAGTTAGTGATCTAAGCAATCGTCAATTGCACAGGTATGATTAGCGTGTGTATCCAAATAGATATATATTGTATATTAATGTTGCTATACGAATTGTAGGTGTTCCATTGTGAACTGCGGCAAAGAGTTCAAGCTGAAGACCCACCTGGCGCGCCATTACGCACAAGCGCATGGCATTGCCATCAGTTCAGGTTCGCCGCGGCCCATCATGAAGACGCGCACTGCCTTCTACTTGCACACGAATCCCATGACACGTGTGGCACGTATTATCTGCCGAAGTATTGTGAAACCCAAGAAGGCGGCGCGGCAAAGCGCATACGCAATCAATGCGCTGTTGGTCAAACAAGAATGTAATTTAAATCCGTTTATTATAATCAATATGTTATTAACTTTAACATTTTTATTGTAGTTACGAATCGTATTAGCGGCAAATCGCCGGCGGATATTAAAAAGATGCTTTTGCTCAAGCCCAAGGATCGGGGAAGTGTCACAAAAATTGCAAATCGATTGGGCGCCCCAGGAAGCGGTCCGCATGAATGGCTGGTGCTGACGCCCAAGGATAAAATGCCACAGCCCATTGTTGTCTCATTCCCTAAGCCGCCCAAAGGACCCGACGGCAGTTTACTCTACGATCGCGTGCCCAATAAAACACCCGATGTGGTCGCCGTGCCCGTTGTGGCTGACAAAGAACTAACTATAATTCCAGCGCAAGCAACATCTACGATACGCAAACGTGCGCATGAGGAACAGCAACTCAATGGCACCGAAGGTGACTTAAACAATTAACTTTGAAAATAACGAGAGTTAATATGAATATTGTTTCTTTTTTTTTTTTTTGCATTCGTAGTAACTATTGTGCCCAGTGGGCCGCCAGCCAAACGTCCCAACAAGGATCCCATGCCCTCGCATTGCCCCAGTCCGGAGCAGTTCGCTGCCATGATGGCAGCATCTGGCCAGCCCCTCTCTAGACATCACGTAGGTGTCATGTCAGCTGCTACTATTTCAATATTTATCAATTTCCTCCAATATTCTTACAGCTTAATGGCAAGCAAAAGATTGCGCAAATGGCACGTGGCGGCAATGGACGCAAGCAGGTTATCAGTTGGATGGATGCACCGGACGATGTTTACTTTAGAGCCACAGACGTACACAAGTGAGTGCCAATTATTTATTGATGCACAATCGCCATATTTTATTTAAACTTTCCTTATTCACAGAAAAACACGAAAAATACTCTCAGCTGTGGATCTGCGTCGTGCGGCGCGCAAACCATGGCGTTCACTGCCTATCAAGTCAATGGCCCCCGAGCCGAGCAGCAAACCTATTGAATCACAAATCGTAATACTGGACTGACCGTCTTCAGGAGATACATCAGCATCAGCATCAACACCATATGCAGCAGCAGCAGCAGCAGCAGCAACAGCAACAGCGACAAAGCTGCTGTCATATTCAGCCAACAGATTTGAACAGCAACAGCAACATCCTCCATTTCCATATACAATGGATGCATTGCTAAACTAGTGACCCACATTCTGTCTTTCAGTGGCTTGCCATGTACATACATACATACAACCATACATACATCCCCTGCATGCTAAAAACAAAAACAAAGAAAAAAAAATCACAAAAAAAACTCAAAAACAAAAAAAAAAAAAAACAACAATATACATACATACATACATCTAGTGTAGGCAAGTGTTGCAGCATCCACTATACATATGAAGTTGGTATCCATTTCACTAACAGAAAACCAACAACTGACAGCAACAAGAAAACCCACTTTACTAGCGCTTAAATAGATGTCTTTTTAAACAAAACAAAAAATTTAAGAACAAAACAAATAGTAAGATAATAAGTGTTAAGATCGAAAGCAATAGTAAACACAACGCGAAACAAATCAAATATTTATTCATAATTTACATAATTTTTACAATTTTTTTTAAATCTCACGAAAATTAAGTTCACTGCAATTTTGGACATGTATGAGAAACTCAAGGAATAATAAGTTCATTGTTTCTATATTAGTTTATGTGTTGTAGGCATTTTATAATAATTCTTAATTATTATTATTATTATTTTTTATTGCATTGTCCAATTTTCATAAAAGCGCATACATTTCAACATTATGTACATTGTGTGTACATCATGTATGCCAAATTATTTTAATTTGTCTAATCTATTTTAACTGGCTACCACGCGCCTTTAGGTCCAAAAAAAAAACAAAAACAAAAATACAAAGCACAATTCCTGGATTTTAATTCTGTTGAGCAAATGTTTGTTGCATCCTAGCTAAACACCAGAATACGTAAATTTGTAATTCAAAGGCCTCCGTAATTTTCAAATATTTTTTATTCAAAATTTGAATATGCAAATCATAGACGAACGATAGTTGAAAAATTCATTTAATGCTTTAAGTATCAAAACTTACAAAAAAAAAATAAAAGTAAAAGTGAAAAAAAAAAAAATTGAGAAAATTTACCTTGTTAATTAATGTGACGTGCAAGATTATTTAAAAAATTAATTATACGCTGTAACGAGAAGCGGATAACCACCACAAATTGTACAGTAATTGGGATAAAGTTTATAACTTCGAATACAATTTATTTTCATAATTTATACACAAATTGAAAATCGATAATTTCAAACCAATGCAAAATAGACAACACAAAAACCAACATAAACACAAATATAGCATATTTTATTTACGCCTATAGAAATACATAAATAATAAATCGAAATCACATAATATACATTTATAAATGTATTGAGCATATAAATAATACAATAATAAAATAAACAATTTGGCAGATGAGTAAAGTAAAATCTAAAAGTAGATCAGCATTAAAAAGATTTCAAGAAAAAAAAAACAACAAAAACCGCAAAAAAATGAGCAACCACATTTATATATATTGATTATAAAGAAATTCTAATTGTAAGCCAATCTATGTATTTTTAACTTTACAATTTAAGTAATTTTGTAAAATAAAAAATTCTTTAAATTAAATCAAGATAAGTGAAAAAAAAAACAGAAGAAGACGAAGAAATAGAAAAGGGAACGAAAACAACAGCAATTATTGATGTCAGCAAAAACGACCAGATAAAACATATTTGTTTACGATTTATAAAGTAAGCGCGCGTATGCCAGCAACAGAAGCAAATCAAACAGAGCTACATATATACAACATTATATACAGATATATATACACACATACAATATAATAGTACGAACTCTGCAATACGCATATATACATTTTTACCGAGCAGAATGCTAGAAATCCTCATGGTTTTCGTGGGTTTGGGACGGGGGTACAAGAAACCGAAAAGTTTTCCAAATAAAGTTTTAAAACTTAAAAATTTTTCCTAAAAAAGAATAATGCTAAACTATAATGGATATTATTTATTTACATGCAACAATTAGAGCTTAACAAGTTTTTGTATTTAAACATATATAAATATATTATTTTCCAGTGTAGCTGGCAATGCAGAGGGAGGCGTTGGTGCCACCGAAGCCAAAGGAGTTCTTGAGCGCAATGCGTTGTACCGATTGATCCTCTGACCATTTGCACGATTTGGTCACCACATTTACATCCACGTCCAGGTGATCAACATTGATCGAGGGCGGCAATCGGTTTTCTGCGCACGCATGCACTACGAACAGTGCTTCCAGATTGCCCGAGGAGCCAAGCAGGTGTCCATGTGCGCCCTTGGTCGAGGATACAAACACCTTGGGTAAATGATCGCCAAAGACACGGCCAATGGCATGCGCCTCAATACGATCGCCGGTGGGCGTGGATGTGGCATGGGCATTGACATAGCTAATGTCCTGGGCCGCGACGCCGGCATCTGCGATGGCACGCTTCATGGCCAACGTTGCGCCAGCGCCATCATCGCTAGGCGACGTAATGTGGTGTGCATCACCGGACAAGCCGTAGCCTAGTATCTCGGCCAATATGGGTGCACCGCGAGCACGGGCATGCTCCAGCTCTTCCAGAAGCAGCACTGCGGCACCTTCACCCATCACAAATCCGTCACGCGCTTTATCAAAAGGTCGCGAGGCCACGGCGGGGTTATCATTGAACGTAGTGCTGAGGGCGCGCAGCCTACAAAAGCCGGCTATCGATAGGGGGTCTATGCAGGCCTCCCCACTGCCGGCTAGCATGAGATCAGCATCGCCGTTCCGTATAAAGCGCAGGGCATCACCAATGGCATGTGCGCCGGTTGCGCATGCTGTTGACACTGAATGATTTGGTCCCTGCAGGCCATGTCGCATGCTGATGTGTCCACACGCCATGTTCGGCAGCAAGCGAGGCACAAAATATGGACTAACACGATTGTAGCCGCGCTGCAGCTGCTGAAATGCTCCATAGACCTCGGCTAGATCGAACATGCCCATGCCCACGCAGACACCAAAACGTTCCCGCTGCTCTTCACTCAGTTCGCTGGGCTTCAGCTTTGCGGCGGCCAGAGCCTCATCGGCTGCAATGATCGCTAACTGCGTGGCAGGACTCATGAGTTTGATATCACTTTTGCTCAGATGTTTGTCTATCTGAATGCGTTCCCTTGGTATTTGTGCCGCCACTTGACAAGGCAGGCCCTTGAATTCCGCACCCAGTTTGGAAATTGCGGATTCACCCGCCACCAAACGCTGCCACGACTCGGACACATTATTACCCAATGGTGTCACTGCGCCACTACCTGTTATAACCACACGCCGGCGTGCTACTTGCGTTGATGCTCTTCGTATTTGCGATATCAAACGCATGTTGTAACGGCAAAACTAACATAAAATTTATACGAACAAAAACAGTTGATAAGACAGTGCGGTGCTGCCACACTTTTCAATAAATGCCGCATGCTGTGGATGGGCTGGCTGCGTAAGCTTACGTGACACGACGCGTCGTGTTACTTCTGTAAGCATCGTGTTTGAATGACCTTCAGCCAAAACAAAACCACAATAAAAATAAAAATATACATGCAGTAGAATCCGGCTATATCGACTCCGCTTATAACGTCCGACTTGTATTGCAACGAAAATTCTGGTTCCAGGCAAATTTTTATGTGCAAACTTCGGGTACGGCCCGATCCCTTGAGCGTCTTTATAACCGGATTCTACTGTATATAAACATTATAATTATGCAGGAAGGAAAACCTTACAAATAAAAATATTTTATTTAAAAACAATTAATTACAAAAAAAAAAAAAAAAAAAAAAAAAAAATGCATCTTGGTATTGGCTTTTCAGTTGTTTTGAAAAAGTTAAATAGTTTTTTTTTTTTTATTTTTTTTTTTTATAATTTTTTAAATACACAACCTGATAGCTAATACTAATTCTGATACCTTTGTTATTTCAAATATTCATATGTATGTATGTATGTAATTGTTTAATCATCATGATGAATTCAATTTAATTATCACTTAAAAGCGCTACTTAGCAGTAAACAACAATATTCGACTTGAGGAAGGTGCTATTAATATTTGATTAGATAAAGAAAAACAAAATATAAAAGTAGATACACGAGCATATGCTTGAAGTGATTGTTTTCATATAACAGAGCTAGAGAAAGAAAGAGAGAGACACAGTAAGAGAGAGAGAGAGAGAGAGAGAAAGACACAGAGAGAGTGAGAGCCGGCAGTAAATAAAAATGCTCAAATACAAATCTCTTAAAAAGTTCGCTCAGAACCGGCTGATAGCTTATGGGTTCTGTATACATGTTTTTGTATAAATGGAGGCAAATACTCTCGGCACTTCCAGTGCTGAGCTGTTCTTTGATCAACTACGACGTACTTAGAAAAATATTTTGGAGATGTCGAAAGAAGGCACGGCTGATTATTTATTCCGCTGATAGCTTACGTTTATTATTGTTTTCTTCTATATATTTTGCACACTCTTTAGCTTGTTGCCATGGCCCCGGCTATGCCACACCACTGGATGCCTTGAAAAACGGACCTAGGGAGACACTACTGTACACGGTGACAATTCAACCCAACTTGGATGAGCCGCATGGCGACTATCTATCAACCATAGATGTGGACCCTGATAGTCCCACTTATAGCCAGGTAAGCAAATATACTTGTTTGCTTTTTTGTTATTGTATTATAATATTTTTGCATACCTAGGTTGTCCATCGCACTTTTACGAATCGCAAGGGCAATGAGTTGCATCACTCTGGCTGGAACGCCTGCTCCAGCTGTTACTATGTGGACAAGAATGCGAAGAGTGTACCAAAGAGGAATCGCCTAATATTACCAGCTTTGAATTCCGATTTTATTTACGTTCTGGACGTGGCTACCGATCCGCGCAAGCCGGAAATTGTCAAGGTCATCGACGGGGAAGTGCTGAAAAATCATAATGTTACTGCTCCACACACGACTCACTGCTTGGCCAATGGAAATATCATGATATCTGTAATGGGTGATGCTGAGGGATTTGCCAAGGGAGATTTCATTCTGTTCGATTCTGAATTTAATTGCGTTGGCACCTGGACAAAGGGCGAGAAAAGAGCACTTTGCGGCTACGATTTCTGGTATCAGCCCTACTATGATGTCATGGTATCCACCGAATGGGGAGCACCTAATAAGTTTAGACGGTAAGCTCGAATGGGACATCCATGGCCAGCTTTATATCTTTCTTTTATAGTGGCTGGAAAAATGAAGATCTGGAGGATATGACGCAGTATGGCTGCAGGCTCAATTTTTACAAATGGTCCACGCAAACATTATACCAAACAGTAGATCTGGGTGTGGAGGGCACAACACCTTTGGAGGTTCGTTTCTTACACGATCCGAAGCGTCCGGATGGCTATGTGGGATGCGCCTTGTATGCCAAGGTCTTCTACTTCAAGAAGAGAGCCGACTCCGACGAGTTTGATGTGAAGAAAGTCATTGATATACCCAACAAGCTCGTCGATACGGGCAGTGGCGTCGCCTCCGAGATGGGTGGTATGATTTCAGATATAATAATATCATTGGATGATCGATTCCTATATGTCAACTGTTGGATGCATGGCGATGTGAGGCAATACGATATAACCATACCGGATCAACCCAAACTAGTATCGCGTGTATGGCTAGGAGGCGCCATATGCAGCGATCTGCCCAATGTGATCGTTAAGGAAGATAAGGAATTGACCGTATGCGCTATATTCATATATAAATGCATATATAATGCCTTTTGTAATTTGATATGATGCAGGAAAGGCCGCCTCCGTGCATCATTAAGGGTCGTCGCCTGGAAGGAGGTCCACAGATGATGCAGCTCTCTCTGGATGGCAAACGCTTATACGTCTCCTCCTCACTATACTCACCGTGGGACAAACAGGTGCAAAGCAATCGAAGGCATTGCAAATGACAGTTCATTAAGTTAATTTTTTCACAGTTCTATCCCAAAATGGCCTCCAAGGGCGGACATGTGGTCCTCATTGATGTCGATGTGGTCAATGGCGGGATGACCTTGAATAAGGATTTCCTGGTTGACTTTGGTAAGGAACCTTATGGACCCAGTCTGCCACATGAGATGCGCTACCCAGGTGGAGATTGTACCTCAGATATTTGGTTAGCCAAAGATGCTTAAAAGCGAAAGCTATGAAATTCTCTAATCTGCGCAATAAAAAATGTTTTTCAATACTCATTATTCACATCACGTAAAATAATAAGTTTCTAGACAGGTAAAGTTAACGGTTTTCACACTGCAATACATAAATATGCCTTAGATAATTTTATTGGATGCGAGACACTTTTTAAAAATTAGTTACAGAGTTATGTAAATTAAATTTGCTTATGCTTTTAATAAGAGTGTGGCAACGCTTTTTGACGATAATATAGTTTAAAGCAGTGTGGCAACTACACGCCACCCAACCGGGTCGAAAAAGTATTTAAATCCAATCTTTAACCACTTTAAATTTGTTAAAATTCATAGCGGATTAAAGTTAATCGATCTTTTGATTTCAACTAAAAAAAGAAATTCGGCTCTGGCCCCGCTTGAGCCATTTTATATATTGTTTCCACGGGTAGCTGTATTAAGGTATATATACGATTAACACTGCAATAATTTAAAATATAATTTGTAAATGATATGTTTAACGTATGATAATAGGCAAACCCACTTGTTATCGCACGTGTCGTCCATAAAAGACTTCGCCAAGCTACTTAGCACATGTTGCTTGTAGAACATGCAGTTCGTCAAATACGCACTCGTAGGCGGAATGAGCAGCTTCGCCCAGGGCATGGACAGCAGGGCAGCGAGTCGCTTATTGTGGCTGACATCGACTTTACATAGATCTTTATACAGTGCCTGAATGGCAATGACCACGGCGAAGCACATATAGCTGAAGGGTACATGGCTGAACAAGCCGTATGACGCGCCACTGACAAATGCTGCCAATAAATTGAGTTGCTTCATCTCCAGTTTACGAGCGAAGAGAACTTGAACTATCTGAGATTAAAATTAAATTTGAACATAATGAACCTTTCGCCGTCAGCTATACTCACTTTGTAGAGCCCCATATAGGTTACAATAAAGCTAGTTGTTTTGAGCCTTAACTTTTGAAGATTCAGGCGCATTAACACACTAAATAAGTCAATGGTAAAACCTATGCCAAAGTATTTGCACAATTCCAATGAAGCTTGCTTAAGGCGACGTAATAAGGGCCACTTGCTGTAATCCAAAGTCATCGGGTTAGGCTTAATGAACCAGAAACCAGAGTATATATGCTTCTGCTGCTGTCGGAGCACCACTAGCGACGACAACATGAATAGCAGCGTCTGAGCAGGTCGAGATCGCACCAGACCCGCATTCATTTGACGGAGCACGGCTTCCATAGCCTTAAATGAGGAAAGTTTTTTTAATTATGTTCCCAGTATCATAAAAAGTCAAGACTATGGGAACAGATTGTCTCTGATAGGAATTAGGAAATTTGTCTTCCTCTTCTGGGAATTTTAAAGTCCCAGGAAATTGTTCCGGATCTTTTAAGTTGTGAAAGGAAAATATTGAATTGCAATATGAAGGAATTCTCACACAGGGGAATTTATTTGGCGCTACTTTTAAATAAGAAGAACCAAGTCATTGTAGACAATAAAGATATGCATTTTACGTAAAGAATTTTAATATATTAAAAATATACCGACTTTTACTTACCGCATGTGTAATGCCCGTGATAAAGAATTGCAACACCTTGGGTGGTGCCCACCAGTTGATGTACGCTGCCAGGTAATTTGATAGAAATGGTGTGCACAGATAAACGAAACGTCCGTTCAGACGCCTACAAATGCATATCAAATAGAAGGTAAGCGCATTTATTGTGGAGGCAAAAAACATAGTTTCCAAATAGTTTTTCGCTGTGGACCACAGACGACGTTTGTTCAGTCGGCGACAATTCAAAATTAACGGCATTAACTGCAGCGAAAAGAAATTGAGCATGGCATCCATGTCGGATCAGCAAATAGACATACCACCAATGTTGGCAAATAGTATTTGGCGCTGGACACATGATTTCGGTACATGTTCCATAGCAGAGCCTGCGTGCAGCTCTGATTGGGCTGGCTGTGAATAATATTTCCGCAGTGTACGTGACTCATGGGATATCCGAATAGCTTGCTGGGAGCAACCATTTTGCCACAGGCACATCTCCAGTGCGACTGACTCCCACACCTGAGACACCCAAACTCCACCCGAGTCGCTGATTCGGTTCAAATAGAAGGTTATTATGCAAATTCCATAGATACATTTATATTTATTTGTTTTTTGTTTTTGTTTTTTTTTTTATGACTAATTGCATTATAAATTATAATTAAATCCATTTGCCATGCCATCCAGCCGGCTGTAAATGTTGCAGACGTTTGCTTATATTTCCGGCACTGTTGGGAACGAAAGGGAAACAAATTTTTAGAAGCAATAAACACAAATTCTCTTCAGAAACTTACTAATTGCCCGTCGTGCTGTTGATAATGATGCTCGCAAGAGCGCTAACTCTCTTCGGGTAGAAGGCATAGGTGTGTATCAGGTACGCTAGCACCAGGGGAAAGACCAGATCGCTATAGCCAAACCGAGATCTCTGCCTTTTCCGGTGATACCTGCCCCACAGCGAGCGACCCGCCTCCAGCAGGGCATAGCTCAAGATGGTCAACTTCGGATAACAAACAAAGCTGAGCCCACCCAGAAAACTCGACACGATCTGCTGTAGCGTCTGGCTGGCATCCGTCTTGCTTGCCATATAGCATAAGCTAGTCTAAACAAATGCAAATCGCTTTATTATGCAGTTGCGAATGCAAACAAAGATTTGTATGGGCGACAAGGTGATGAGGTGATAAGGTGGCTGCCCTCTTTTCCAGGCCATACGAGAAAAAATTCAACACTTGAATGGATTGATAGTCGGATGTAAAAAAGTATGTCTACATAAAAGTGCTGTAAGGAGTGAAAGAAGGGACAGTCAAAAGGGACAGACGATAGACGTATGGGGCATGAAATGGAGGAATGGACATATGAAGGAAGGAGTTCAGGCAACTGTTAAGATATTTGAGGGAAAAAACAAAAAGGATTCTAGCAAAAGTCATATTCCCTGCTAAAAATATCGAAATTTCTGCATTAATAATCTATATGAAAATAATCATATATTTTACCCGGTAGATGCCCACGTAACAGCCCAGCCAGGCCATAGACTCCAAGCTGAACTGCTTCAGGTGCCAGCGACCCGTCTTAATGCAGCTTATCAAAGCCTTGAAGATGTCCAAAGCGAAACCAATGAGCAAATACTTACGCACGCCCTGAACCACATATTGAAGGGGACTTAAGCTCCTTTCCGACTTCAGGCAATCGGGTGTTACGAACCAGAAACCTTTGTGCCACTGGCGTTGCTTGCCCAGCATGATGACGGCGCTGCAGGCCATGAAGAGCAGGGTTTGTCGCCAGAGAGATGTGCCCAGCGCCTTGGTCAGTGGAGTGGAGCGCTGCAGCAGCAGGCTTTCGATCAGCTGAAAGAGTAGAATGGAGGAGCAGTAGGTCCAGGTGCGCAGTTGAGCTGACTTACAGCTTGAAAGAGGGCCGTTTGATGCAGCTGCTTCACACGAATGGGCAAGAGCGCATCGAAAGCACCAGCCAAGACGGCAGGCACAAACACCACCGTATTCGGTCGGAATTCGCCCAGCAGGTGACTAAGGAGACACAGATGAGATTATTAAGAGAGGAGAAGCAGAACAGCCGATGCCTACCGCAGCAAGCAAATGAAGCTGGCTGACAGCCAACCAGTGACCAGGCCACCGAACACCAGCTGGCCGTAATACCACATTGCATTACGGAGCGAGTGCAGCAGCAGCTGATTGCCGCGCAAAGCCTGCTTCAGCAGATCCAGCACGAACATGGGCAGATAATACTTGAGGTTCGACCAGATAAACCGATAGACATTCTGGCAAGCGGCACGCCGGCAGCTATGCGGATGCAACAGCTCATTGCAGTTGCGCCAGCTGATCTGCTCAGCAAACAGACTACTCGATGCAACCATTGAAAGGCAACTGAAGACCGAAAGCTAAATGATGAATGGGAATGGGAATGGGAATGGGAAAGAGAATGCGAATGCGATTGCGAATGCGAATGCCAATGGGAATGGAATGGAAATGGATATGGTAAATGGCGACAGCAGCTGACTTGAATGAACTCTTTTATTAGCATAAATTTCAAATACATATTCAATTGAATTGTTCGCTTGGTCAGTCCAGATTAGTCCACCTCCTCGACGGTGGGTCCACTGTTGGCGGTGCCAGCACTTGACTTGCCACTGGGTGCCTTTCCGCCGGCATGCATCTTGGACATGATGGGATTGCAGACGCCTTGGCAGTCCTTCAGATGGTGCTCGTACTCCTCCTTTTCGGCCAGTGTATTCTTGTCCAGCCAGGCGCTCTCCTTGTTGCACTTGTCGCGCACCTTGGACTTGTCGGCCTCGGTGAGAACACCCGGTGGTGCCTCATCCACGGCCTGTTTGCAGCCATAGATGTAGCCCTCGAGGGAGTTGCGAGATGAGACCCGTTCGCGCTGACGATTGTCTTCGTCCTTGTACTTCTCCGCCTCGGAGAGCATGCGATCGATCTCGGCCTTGGACAGGCGGCCCTTGTCATTGGTGATGGTTATCTTCTCCAGTTTGCCAGTGCTGCTGTCCTTGGCGCTGACATTTAGGATGCCATCGGCATTCAGGTCGAAGGTCACATCGATTTTGGGCACTCCACGTGGCGCTGGTGGAATGCCCGCCAGATTGAAGGTGCCCAGCAGATTATTGTCCTTGGTCATGGCCCGCTCGCCCTCGAACACCTGAATGGTGACCGCATTCTGGTTGTCGCTGTAGGTGGTAAAGGTCTGCTGCTGCTTGCAGGGAATGCGTGCATTGCGCTCCACCAGCTTGGTCATCACACCGCCAGCAGTCTCAATGCCCAGCGACAGAGGTGTCACGTCCACCAGCAACAGATCCTGTATCTGGGAGCTGCCCACACCGGTGAGTATGGCCGCTTGAACGGCAGCACCGTAGGCTACCGCCTCGTCGGGATTGATGGACAAGTTGAGCTGCTTGCCGCCAAAGAAGTCCTGCAGCAGGCGCTGGATCTTCGGTATACGTGTGGAGCCACCGACTAGGACGACATCGTGTATGGCCTTCTTGTCCATTTTGGCATCGCTCAGAGCGCGCTGCACTGGGTCTATGGTGGAGCGGAAGAGATCCATGTTGAGCTCCTCGAAGCGAGCACGCGATATCTTTGAGTAGAAATCAATGCCCTCGTGCAGCGCGTCAATCTCCAGCGAGGCTTCGGTGCTGGAGGAGAGCGTACGCTTGGCCCGYTCACAGGCCGTGCGCAGGCGACGCAGAGCTCGCACATTCCCGGTGATGTTGGTCTTGTGCTTGCGCTTGAACTCCTCCACGAAGTGATTGACCAGCCGATTGTCGAAATCCTCGCCGCCCAGATGCGTATCACCTGCCGTAGCCTTCACTTCGAACAGCGATCCCTCGTCGATGGAGAGTATGGAGACGTCAAAGGTGCCGCCGCCCAAATCGAAGATCAGCACATTTCGCTCTCCCTTCAGATTTTTGTCCAGGCCATAGGCGAGGGCAGCCGCCGTCGGCTCATTGATGATGCGCAGCACATTCAAACCGGCTATGGAGCCAGCATCTTTAGTCGCTTGGCGCTGGGAATCGTTGAAGTACGCCGGCACCGTAATGACAGCATCCTTTACCTTGGAGCCCAGATAGACCTCGGCAGTTTCCCGCATCTTCGTCAACACCATGGAGCTGATCTCTTCGGGTGCAAAACGCTTGCGTTCGCCCTTAAATTCGACTTCAATTTTAGGCTTGCCCCCGTCGTTGATGACCTTGAATGGCCAATGCTTCAAGTCCTCCTGTATCTTCTTATCATCGAATTTGCGTCCAATTAAACGTTTCGCATCGAATACTGTATTCTTGGCGTTCATTGCCACCTGCAATTGCATTCGAGCATTTTGAGTAAGGGCGTGGTTTATCAGTTAGTCAGCAAAATAGCTATTTTTTTATGGGCCAACTGCCGGGATGCTCGCATGAATTTACTTGAATGTTATATAACATTTATATGCAAACATATTTTTGAACGTAATAATTAAAAGGCTTATAAAATGCAGCCATATTTTGGACAACGTACAGTGAAATCTCTCTTGAATGAGCAAACATGCTTTTCCTTAAATTAATAAAATTAAAACATCGCCCATTGGCATTTTGAACTGCAATACTGGGAAATCAGTTTTAAGAAAACTACGTTATTGTATTGAGAATTCGAAGAAATTCCCTTCTTGAAAGAGATGCCACCCAGCTTGAATCATAAACAAGTAAAGCATTCATAATGTAGCTATGCTCATACAATTCAATTCAATTTGACCAAATACGGCTCGCCAAATTTGAGCTCAAGTGCAACAACACATGGGCCACTCACCTGATTTTTAGCTGCATCGCCAATTAGGCGCTCTGTGTCGTTAAAGGCCACATACGAGGGCGTCGTCCGATTGCCTTGATCATTGGCAATAATCTCAACTTTATTGTTCTGCCAAACACCCACGCAGGAGTAGGTGGTGCCCAGATCGATACCAATTGCCGGCGTCTTGCCCATGTTTAATGTCTAAATCACAAACAGTCCGTTACCGTTGACGTCACACTGAACCGTTGGCTGTCGCCGATGATATCCAACTGAATCGTGCGCCCGCACAACTCTCGGATTTTTATGATGCAATCTTTGGGCAAGTCGCCTTGCCACAATTTTTGGCAATTCTACAAAAACGAGTCCAAATGTGTTTTAATATTTTGTTTGTGTTTGTAATTTTCTCACGCCGGTAATTTTGATTTCGTTTCGTATTTTGGAGATTTTCTGATGTTTGTTCTAGAAAGTGTTGTTGCTGACGCTCAAAAATGAGTTTGATTTTTGGTTCGAAATTGATGATGACGACTTGATTTGGTCAGATATAAATAGAAGCAAAGGTAACAAACAAAATGCTTACATTTGAGTCATATACATATGCAAGTGCAATATAATATTTACTTCATTTGAAATAAAAATTGTAAATCATTTTTAATAAATTATTTTATTTCAAGTAAATAATTTGTCATTAAGTCATTTGATCAACGCTTGCCCTTCTTCTTCTTCTTTTGTCCATCGGGCCAAGGAAACCCGCGGGTTTTCAGTACATCCTACAAACATGCACATTAGATTGGTAAAGCACAAGACAAATTTAGAATATGCCATCTCACCTGCACATTGTGGCATACATAGTAGGCATTCTCCATTGCTGCATCATTGAATATATCACAGCCAATGGACTTGCCCACGCCCCCTTTTTTCTTGCCACTAATGCCTTCCTTCTTTTTCTTCTCTTCGCCCTCACCACTGCCTGCATTACTGGACGTTGAATCTTTACTATTTCGTTTTTTCTTGCTTTTGCCAGCCATTTAAAATATTTAAAATGCACTGTCAAGGCTGCCCCACTGATTAAATATTTAGTATTTTCTTGCTTTTGCCAGCCATTTAAGATATTTAAAATGCAATGTCAAGTCTGCCCCACTGATTAAATATTTCGTTTTTTCTTGCTTTTGCCAGGTATATAAAATATTTAAAATGCACTGTCAAGGCTGCCCCATCGATTAAATAAATTGACTGCTCCATAGCAACAGCTTGTCTGCTGTCTTCGCTCCTGATTGGAGTTCAAGAACTTTACAGGACTGCAAAAATGCATTGCTAGTGGTGCCACATCGCTTAAAAAACGTACCATTATGTTCGCTCCAAATTTGAATTCATAAACTTTGCGGGTTTTCTAGCACTGACGCACAGGGAGCTTTCGTTGCGCAGTAGGATTACGTTATTTAGATGTTTACAAATGTGCAAGAGACAAAAACAAAGGCGACGACAAATGAAGAAATGCCAATTTTGTCCGTAATTATCAGCGTACAATTTATGCTGCTACACATACAAGCACTAAATGGTAGTATAATTGAACTCATCTACAATTTAATTGCAATTAACATCCCCAGTTTTCAGCCGCTTTTGAGATTTTCAATTATCAAACGACCAAATACACGCTTCCAGAACTCTGGCCCCAGGAGCCATCTGCAACCGGTGCTGCTGAACGGGAACAGCAGGATGAACTGTCGGAGAGCTCTTTAAAATTCGACAATGACGAAGAGCTGCGTCCAGGACCGGCACGGACGCTGCAAGAGGGTGCCTTCTGCCGGCGCAGCTTTGACGGACGCAGCGGCTATTGCATCGTGGCCTATCAGTGCCTCCATATTATACGCGAATACCGCGTGCACGGCACGCCCATTGACATTTGCACGCATCGCAACAACGTGCCGGTCATTTGTTGCCCACTGGCCGAAAAGCATGTCCAGTCGCAACGGATTAGCGCCACAAGTAAGTCGAGTTGCAGCATTCGGCCAATTAGACATTAAACTAACCAACTGTGCAGAGTGTCAGGAGTACAATAGCGCCACTAAAGGACTGCGCCTGGGCGACACAGGACGCATTTTCTCGGGCAAGCAGTGTGTGCCCAGCGTGCCTTTGATTGTGGGCGGCACGCCCACACTGCACGCCCTCTTTCCACATATGACCGCACTGGGCTGGACGCAAAGCGACGGCGTCATCAAGTGGGGCTGCGGCGGTACGCTGGTCAGTGAGCTTTATGTGCTCACGGCGGCACATTGCGCCACGTCGGGTAGGTGAGTGGCAATGCACAAGAAGCCCCGACACTACATGGTCTCTTTATATATATACTTTTAGTAAGCCACCGGACATGGTGCGTCTGGGCGCCCAGCAACTGAATGTCACCAGCCCGTGGCAGCAGGACATTAAAATACTCATCATTATTCTGCATCCAAAGTATCGCTCCTCTTCTTACTACCACGATATCGCCTTGCTGAAGCTGACCAAGCGCGCCAAATTGTCAGAGCATGTGCGTCCGGCCTGCTTGTGGCAATTACCTGAGATGCACATCAAGTCGGTGGTGGCAACCGGTTGGGGACGCACGGAATTCCTGGGCGCCAAGTCGAATACGTTGCGCCAGGTGGATCTAGACATGATACAGCAGCAGCGTTGCAAGCAAATCTATCGCAAGGAACGTCGACTGCCCAATGGCATTGTCGACTCGCAGTTCTGTGCTGGCTATTTGCCGGGCGGCAAGGACACCTGCCAGGGTGACTCCGGCGGACCGCTGCATGCGATTCTACCCGAAAACAATTGTGTGGCCTTTGTCGTGGGCATCACATCATTCGGCAAGTTCTGCGCAGCGCCCAATGCGCCGGGCGTCTACACAAAGCTATACGCTTACCTGGACTGGGTGGAGAGGATTGTCTTCAAGAAGCATTAGATAAGACTAATAATACAAATAAGCTCAATTTAGTGCTAAATAGCTATTAATTAAAAATGTAACAAATGCTTAAGTGAACTAAACGATTTATGGCACTATATTCCAGGGCTTGTAACTGCCCGGCTCTGGCATTTTGATCTGAAAGATGGAGAGGATCGCCTGAGAATCAAATTCATTCTATATTCAACTGGACCGGACTTACCAGCTGGGTGAATTGGTCTTGGCAAGCCATGCGTATGCGTGCGGCTGTGGCCGGCGCCTGCAGATCAAAGTCCGGACTCAAGCCGCACTCGGCGCGTGCCGCAGCGATGGCCTTCTTGATGGCAAAGAATACCGTAGAGCCTATGAAAAGCGGAGGCTCTCCCACGGCCTGCAATTGGAGTATATATATTAGTAAACATATTCCTGTCCAGACGCGTTCACTTGCTCACCTTTGATGAGAAAACAGCGCGTGGATTGGGTGCGCCAGTCAGCAGGCTAACATTGAACTCGCTCGGTATATCCGCGAAGCCGGGCAGCTTGTACATGCCCGGTCCGCGGGAGTAGAGATTACCCTCGGGCGAGTAGATGAGCTCCTCGAGCGTGAACAAGCCGTAGCCCTGCATAAAGGCGCCTTCAATCTGACCGATATCAATAGCCGGATTGATGCTCGAGCCAATGTCCATGACGATGTCCGTGCTGAGCACCTGATGGTCGCCAGTCAGGCAGTCGATCTCCACGACAGAGACGCCCACGCCGTTCGTATAGTAGCTGTAGGTGCGTGCATTGGGATTCGTTACCGGGTGATAGCCTATGTCGGGAATGGCATAGAAGCCAGTGGCCGACAGGCTGATCCGGTCGAAGTACGCCTTGGTGATCCACTCCTTCCAAGTGCCCTGAGGCAGGGCCTCCTTAATGGGCGCCAGCCGCTTATTCAGCTTCTCGCAAGCCTCCAGCACGGCCATGCCGTTCAAATCGGAGCCCACGCTGGCCGCTGTGGGCGAGGTGTTGGGCACCTTGTCGGTGGCCGTCTCTGAAATGTGTATCTGCTCGATGGGAATGCCCAGGGCTCGAGAGGCACACTGCAGCATCTTGGTGTTCAGCCCCTGTCCAATCTCCACGCCGCCATGGGACAACAGGACGGATCCATCGGCATAGATGTTGACGAGTGCGCCCGCCTGGTTCAGATGCATGACGCCAAAGGCGACACCATATTTGGTGGGCACCAGGGCAATGCCACGCTTGCGCCAGCGATTCTCCCGATTGAAGGTCGTGATCTCAGCTTGCTTCTCGTAGTAGCGCGACTGCTTGAGGCAATCCGCGAAGCAGCGCCTAATGGGAAAGCGTTCCAGCTGCTGATTGTAGTGTGTATAGTCGCCTGTCTTGTAGAAGTTCAGCTCCATCACGTCCAGCACGTTGCGGCCCACAATACGCGCCACGTCGCGGATGATGTGCTCCCCGGCGAACATGCCCTGCGGCCCGCCGAAGCCGCGAAAGGCCGTATTCGAGGGCAGGTTGGTTCTGCACACCCAGCCACCGACGTGCACGTTCGGGATGCGGTAGCAGTTCTCGAAGTGGTACATGGCACGCTCCAGCACCTGGCGAGGATTACATAGAGTTATCAAATCACTCAGCAGCTAGCATGGACGTACTCACCGAAAAGGACAAATCCATGGACCAGCCGGCGTTGTTGTAGCACTCGATCTCGCAGGCCGAGATCAGACCCTCCTTGCTGAAGCCCACCTTGTACTTGAAGAGGAAAGGATGCCGTGTGCCGGTCATGAGCATATCCTCACCCCGGTCCAGCATGCAGCGCACAGGACGCTTCAGTCGATAGGCAGCCAAGGCGACGGGCAGTGCCACCATCAGACCACGAGATTCCTTGCCACCGAAGCCACCGCCCAGACGCTTGGTGCGACAAACGATGCGATTGGCCGGCAGATTGACCACGTGCGAGACCAGCTTCTGCACCTCCGACGGATGCTGGGTGGAGCAGAACAGCTCCAGTTCGTCACTGTCCCGGGGCACAGCCACAGCGGCGTGGGTCTCCAGATAGAAGTGCTCCTGGCCGCCCATGCGGCAGCTGCCCTCATGGACGTGGTCCGCCTCAGCAAAGGCCTGCTTCACATCGCCCTTCGTCACATAGCGGGGATAGTGGGGAAAGTAGGACTTGTGCTCGATCGCCTGCTCAATGGTGACAATCACCGGCTGCAGCTCCTCGTACTCCACGCGCACCAGCCGTGCGGCGCGTTGGGCCAACGTCTGGTTGGCCGCAACTATGGCGCCTATAATCTGGCCATGGCAGTGCACCACTCCGTTGGCGAAGACGTGCTCATCATGGAACACAGGCCCCACCTCGTTCTCATGCTTGGTCAGATCGTTGGCGCTGAAGAAGGCTTCCACGCCCTCCAAGGCCAATGCTTCGCTGGCATCCAGCTTGGTGATCTTGGCGTGCGCCTTGGTGCTCAGCACAAGGGCCAAGTAGAGTTCTCCATCCATGCGCGGTATGTCATCCGTGTAGATGGCCTCGCCGGTGGCCTGCTTCAGGGCGGATGCATGCACCTTTGGCTTACCGATCGGGTCGTGGCTCGGCTGATCGTTGGCAACGCGCTCGAACAGCTGGGAGCTGCGCAGAGCGGGCGTGTGGAACTTATCGGCGCCACTGAGCTCCTTTTGGGGCAGTGCCTGCGGCGACATGATGCCGGAGTCGCACAGCTTTCGGCTGATGGCCAGGTAGGATTTGAAGAACAGGCTGACAACTAGGGCGCGACGATAAGCGATCATGCCCCCGGGAGCTGAGGCATCCAAGGGCAGCTCCTTGCTCAGACTCTCCGACACGCGCTCCACCAATGTCTGGCTCCAGGGCTGGCCCACCATCAGCTCCGAGGTGCGCGGCGCCAGCACCGTGGTGGGTGCCATGCCACCAAATGCGATCTGGATGCGCTCAACCACATTGGAGCCTGCCTGGAACTTGACGTTGACTGCCGCATTGACGATGGCAATGTCGTCGTCGCGGCGGCGCGCCTGCTTGAAGGCCACCACATGGTCATCCGGCGTGGTCTTCTGCAAGTAGATGCCCAGCAGAATCTCATCGGCTTGGATGACATTGCGTCGATAGCCGGTGAAGAAGCCGGCGCCCATGTGCACCGTGCGCCTGCCTCCGGCCAGACTGGCCACCTCCAGGCGAGCACCAGCTGCCGTCAGTATGGGATTCATGTCGGAGATGGGACTGCCGGTCATTATGTTCCCGCCCAGGCACGCCACATTGCGGATCTGCTTGCCGGCAAAGTAATGCAGCATGTCGACAACGCACTGGAAGAGGCGCGTCTGCGTCTCGGGCAGCTCCTCGATGCGCTTGCGCAGATATGCATCGATCTCCATGATGCTAACGGCGGCACCGAAGTAGACGCCCTCCTCCGACTCACGCACCTCCAGCAGCTCGGGCACTTTCGTCGGATTGATGAGCACGGGGTAGAGAAAGTGCTTGAATTTCACCTCCACGCCCACCTCGGTGTTGCCTACAATTAGCTTGGCCGCCGGATGGTCAGCCTTCAGTTGGAGTAGCTCCTTCAGCTGCGTCGGTCGATGCCAGGTCACTCGGTCCGAGCGGAAGACCAGACTCTCCTCGTCATACGCGGCTGTCAGCTGCAGCTCCGGCGGAAAGATGGGCTCCTGGCTGGGATCGAAGGGCTGGAACTTACTGGGCTTGAAGAGCTTGTCATCTGTGTTGCTCGCGCCGCCGCATGCCTTGCGACTTAGTTTGCAGCACTTGTCGCCCATGCCGCAGGCGAACTCCTTGGTGAATGTCTTGTAGCCCTCCAGGATGGGCCGATAGCCGGTGCAGCGACAGAGATTCCCTTGGAAGGCCACCTCAAGATCGCGCATTGATGGCTGCTCCGCGTTGCGCAGCAGCGCGTACATGGACATCACAATGCCGGGCGTGCAGAAGCCGCACTGTGAGCCGTGCGCCTTGGCCAGACGCTCCTGGACCGGATGCAGCCGGGTGCGTGTGCTGCCAATACCCTCCACAGTGGTCACCGCACAGCCGTGCATCGCGCAAACGGGCGTCAGGCAGGCATTCACGGCCAGGTGCTGTATCTGATTGCTGCGCCGATCCAGGCGCGAGATCATAACGGTGCATGCGCCACATCCTCCCTCGCCGCAGCCCAGCTTGGTGCCGCACAGGTGCAGCTTGTCGCGCAGATAGCTGAGCAGCGTGCATTCCGGATCGGGATTGCTATCCACTACCTGTTAAAGAAAGAGATTAGAACACATTAATACAAGTTTGCTGAACCCTGCACTCATTGCAAAACACAAGATCTTATCTCATTGGAGCAACGAACTTTAATGCTGAACGAACTCTTGGCTAATTATTAAAAACACCTAAATATTTCATTCACCAGCAAAACTCTGAGTGCGCGCTGACGTCGATCCAAAAAAAAAGTGGGTCGCAAAGTAATTACAAATTTGTGTAGATACTTATATTTGGGGAAAGTGTTTCAGGCGGGTATGCCAAGACCAGATGATGCTCTGCAATCCTACATATATTAATGGAATGTTCGAATCTTAATCAACGACATTTGAATTAAAAATTAAATTAAATATCTACGTTAAAGCTCTAGTTTTTGCTTTAACAATTTTTAAGAATATATAATAAAATGTAAATAAAATATTTTTTTTTTAATTTTTTTTTTTATTTTTTAAGTTATTTAACAATTGCATTATTTCTAACAATATTCATAATTTTATTTTATTTTTAGGAATAACTTATTTCGAAAAATATAAGCAACAAAATAAAATAATAATAAACATATTTATGTATTATGTATAGAAATATTATAGTTTTAAAACAATATTAATGGAATACACTGACATTTCTATTATATTAGCTGTAATATAAATAATAATTATTTACAATAATAGGTGTGTCAATCATAAAGTTTTCAAATGATTGCAACTTAGCAAAACAAAGTCTGCTGATGATAGAAAAAATGTGCTCATAAAACAGCTAAACAAACATGTTTACATTTTTAAATACGTGAACTTCGAAATCTACAAAGTTTCTGTGTATAAGAGTTGTCAATTACAATTACAATAATGAATTATTTACAATAACTCCTGAATCTGAAACACTTTATTTGTATTTCAATTTCATTTTTATTTATTTTTTTTTTCAAAAATTTGTTTTTATTTTTTTGTTTTGCTGCCTAACAGGTTGAGCCTGTTTCACAGCCCCCAACTAATGCAATTCGTTATTATCTGGCATTATCAGTCGAGTCACTTGAAAAACAACACGCGCATTGCAGGTTGCATTGTGTTTGCCAATTTTATTGCACTCGATGCATATGTTGAGCATATGTATTTAGTATAAAAAGTATGGATTAGCTGCAGCTACAGTAGACTCTATTTACAATACCGGGCATATGGCAAACAGTGGCACTTGATGAGATAGCAATGTTTGTAGACTTGCACAAGAGGAGGACCTTATGGATATTATTAGATATTATTATAGATATTATTATACTGAACCAAAAAAAAAAAGACCATCTAACAATACCCTATATATTTGGATTTACCGAGCCGTTACTTTATATTCAAAATTCCAAACTTATATTTAATAAAACCAATATACTCTCCTTCGCTTCATGAGCAAGCATATGTAGTACTTGTGAATAGAGGATGTTATCATATCACTCAAGATAGGCGAAATTATAGCACGCTCTTGCCTGAAGAAATTGTTGCTCTTTTTATCTATTTATAGAGCACTACCGGAGAATATCACGTGTCGTAATTAATAAATACGCGTTTATTGTATTCTAAAACTGTTAAAAAATACAAAATATACTTTAATTTAAAATACGATAAGAATTTGTTAGACTTTACTGCCCGAGCAATTCATATCTTTATATGAGTTAACTACACGCGCCAGTGCAGAATACGCATTGAGAAAGGAATTTGAAATGCGCTTGATAAGGCGTGACGCTGGCACCCCCCATAAAAGCAACACTGACCCATTATAGTAGGTCAATTGTTATCAGCCAGCCACACAGTCGCAATCACTTTATTATAAAGCAAGAGATCGCTCAGGCCGTGTAATTGAATGCAAAAAAAAAAAAGAAATGGGCGTGAAACAAATACGAGTTGTTGTTCGAAAAAGTTGAAAACAACTAGGTTTACTAACCCCTGATTTTAATAAAGGGAATAAATGAAAGCTGTGTTGTTATATTATAATATAAGGACACTATCTCATGGAAAACACAATCAATTTAATTTTTAAAAATATATTTATACTTTATACTTTACCTTTTTGCCATTGACAAAAAACACTAAATTAGACGGTGCCTCCGCCGCTGTCTTTGACATGTTATGTAAACTTGATTGATTTATTCGTCTCTGTCTAAAGGTAGCTCAAAACGCGTTTAGCTATTTGGCTACATAAAATGTACAAAAGTTCTTAGATCAGTTTTAGGTGTTGCCTCAGTTCCCACACTCAACACACAGCACACAACACTCAACACTCAACACACACACAGTGTATAAAACACGACCGGCTCGAGCAAGAAACGAATTCGTTTTGACGCTGAGGCTCGTCAGTTTTGAGATTAGAGGCGCTACGAATCTACATGAGACCGAACCGAACCGAGCCGACGACAATTATCAGGATCGTTTGAGTGTTTTTCGGTTGTTTCATTGCTCATCGGTATGCTCGAAGTTATCATCTACCTACCTGATAGGCTCATTTAAAAGCAATTACGGATATATTATTTTTACAAAACACACATGCTCGACGGGTATCTGCCCTATAATGTTGCTATGTGAATGGATATATACAATAAACTTATTTAACTTGGAAGTCCGATTTTCGTAATCAATAATACTGACTTTAAATTATTATCTTATGTAAAACTGTTTTACTTTTAATTTAATTTTTAATTATGGCGTATTTCTTATTTACTTATTTTCAAACAAATTTCTATTTAAAGCAAATTATAATTCATGAGTCAATATAACAAATGTCAAAAAATGCAAAAAAAAAACTTCATTTTAAATTTATCAAAACAGTTTTTCTCTAAGTCTTTCGTCTACCTATTCCACCTGTGGAGGCAAAATTTTTTCTTCTTCTAATTTACTTAAAAATACATAAACTTTTGTTTCTTTTCCACACATAGCTATTTACTTTTTATATATTTCAAGGCATAGTTTGATCGACTCAGTTCGTCACACTGATTAAGAGCATAAAAACATATAAATGTTATAACGATATAAAATCCAGAACTTGAATTTTCATTGCATACAAAATGTCAGCAAACAAAATAATTAAAACCTTTGTTATGCTAAAGCAACGTCAGCTCTAAATTCCTTTAACAAATTTACATAATTTATTTAAACTAACTTACAGAGCTATTATACAAATACATATATTTATGCTTATGCCGTAAGGCAATTAGTATTTGCATTTTGCATTTAAATATTTTACAATTGTGCCTTATCGCTAGTGTTCATTGAAATATATATTTTCGCGCGTATATGTATATACCATAATAATATATACCACTCGGCGCATTAAACGTTCTCGACAGTAAAGTTTTGAATCTTAAAACAATTTACATATGATAGCATCTTATATACATACAAAAAATGATTCAGCTACAACTCGTCTTAATGTATCTACAGATTTAGCCAGTTTATCGAAGTATGCTCGTATATATAATATATATCCGACGTGTTACGCCGACTTAATATCCAGCTCACGCTCGACTTTTGTGCCCTCGTACATGGCCTGCCGGCGCATGGCCTCGCGCAGTTGTTGTTGTTCGAARCGCCGCACCGACCATTGATACCTGGAGGGGGAAGCAGTTGATAAGAATGCATGTCGCCCATAACCTATTGCGACTCACCTGCAGGCCATCCAATAGACTATTGTGCCACAAAAGAAAGAGCCAAAACCAATATGTGTGGCCAGGTGGGGTCGGGAGGTGCCCAAAAATGCCAAAACACCGACACCTATGCCGCCGCTGATGCCATAAAGAAAACTGTTACGAAAGCAAGGTATCTGAGCAACATCGCGTCCAAATATATAGAAGCTCTGCAAGGAATTAAGCACAAATCAATCAATATTTACTACATATTAAAATCTTCTGTTTCCGCTTACCTTGTTGGGCTCCTCTGGCGCGTCATCTAACATTTTTATTAAACAAATTTAAATTTAACTTTTTCTGCAGTAAAGTCCCTACAAAACGCGGCGAACAGCTGTTTATGAACAGTGTTTCCATATTGTACCACAATTGAAAAAAAATAATTGTATGACAAGCCATTGACATCATGCAAAAATTTGTTGCTCATATCTTTGTGATAAGAATGTATAGAATCAATACAATACCTTTCCTTACAACAATTACTGTACGAAATACTATTCTACGCTTAAACATATATCCACAAAATAAATTCCACTTATCATGCACTGTGCACTGTGTTTAATTTGAGCTATAATTTTAATTGAAGTTTATAGGCAGCACTGGCTCACGCTAGCAAGAAGAAGCGAACGCTCTAGCTCAGTTTGCCACAATCACAATTTCATTCTTTAGTTTTTTGGTTTCTCGTTTAATACAAAACAAATGCAAGCAAGTGCAAAGCCACAGCAGACCACAACACACCCAGTTGCATAAATTGTACGTCAATTATAGATCTGCACACAATAATACAAGACTTTCAGGTAAGTTGATGCATTCGCTACAAGCATACATACATACATACTAACAGACATGCCTTTGTGGGTATGTATGTGTGTGTATGTGCATGTACAGCTAGCTGACGAAAGCAAAACAAAGTCAAAATAGTGTCGATAGCAGCTGCTGATAATATCTTAAAAAACAACCTGAGTATCAGTTTATTTTCATGTGTTTTTTTTAAATCCATATGCCAGTGCGACACTAGGCTTTGTATTTAGCATCGAGAAACATGTACACGTACGCAGAATCTTTGAAATTTTAAGTTCGTGATAGGAGGTCGACTGGAATTATCTACTGGTGCCTCTCAGCTGATCTCTCCCTCTCTCATTATATTTTGTTTTGTACACTTACAGTTATTCACCGAATGCCATACTCACCACAACAAAATCAACCGATGACCGAGCTACGTACACACAAATAATATACTTACAAAAATAAATTGATACGTACAGACGTGGGTGAAGGAACAGCAACCAAACTGAAACCGAATTTCAATCCGTAACCAATTCTTCCAAGGCAGCAGCTGTGCAAACACACACACACACACGCACGCAGGCACACGCACACGTAGCTCAACTACACCCACTATATATATATAATTATATATATAGAAAACCACCGACTGTGCACAAATGGATATATCAGCATCAACTTCAAGCGACTCGACAATGGGAACACCAGAACAGAAGAGCAAATCGTATATTGGCGATAGCACGTTCTATGACAGCGCCCTGGATCATCAGCTATCCCCAGCGACAGCAAATTATAAATCCTGCAATGGTAAGTAATATATTAAGCAGCTCAAAATATATATCGTTTATTGGCAGAGGGAACTATTTCAACTGTTAAGTTGGCCTTGGCGCTTCATTCGTCAGCTCTACGGCAGTGCTTAAATTACTACATATGCAAAGATGAGCGACCCCGACACACAACCTGACCCAGAGCCGCTTGTGTGCAGTCCGCAAGAGCAACAGCATCAGCAGCTGCTGCGGCAGCACAACGAGCTGAAGCTTGAGCAATCATCACTTAAGCGAAAGCTGAACACCACCAGACTTCATATCTCTACGTTGAGCATTGAGAACGAGTACTTGGAGCAGCAAATTGAAAAAAAGGCCCAAGAAAATCAGCGAAACGAATGCTTCAATCGGAACATCAAACAGGAACTCATCAACTCCACCAACTTGGCGATCAATGCGCAAACACGCCTCACATTTCCGCACAAGCTTTTAGTGCAGATATTCGTGCCCTTCGCAGAAGATCAGTCCTTGATGGAGCACTGTGTGCACATCGACGCGGAGATGGCCAAAGCCATGCACACGCTACGCATGCAGGCCTACCAAGCACAAGAGCTAAAGCTGAGAGACGTTATAAGTAAAAAACAGGCAGATCTGCGCTCAAAGCTGGTCGCTAAATATGAGGCGAAGTTGGACAAATGTGAGCAGTCTCGAAAGTGGAAGTCTTCACTGATCAGACAGAGATGCTTCGATTTGTTCCAGAATTTCATGCACGAACATTGCGCAGACCATGAATCTACATCAGCGTATTTGGCTGAGCTGAAGGCCGTATACGAGCAGGCGACACACCATTTTTAATTTCCATTTCCACCATTCCAAAAGCATTTTCAGATCATCTATATTTTGTATTAATCGACAACACGTTCGTTTTGAATTCACAGAAAGCCTAAACGGAGACTTCAATCAGAGTGCAGGACAGACAAGTTTTGGCCACAAAGTGCTGAATGCTGAGAATTTCGATGTCCACAATGGAAACGGAAACGGAAATGGCAATTTAGAGGAAATAGCGGCTTTTAACACCTATGGTGTGCCGTCTTCTGTCTCCCATTCATCAAATGCTGCAGCAATCAATGCCAGCATGCTGCTGCTGCAATCAGAGAGCACCGATACAAACACCTCACAGGAGGAGGTCGATCCAAAGTCTCAGCTGGCCAATAAGACAATATTTAAGACCGATAATCCCAATTTGTCAATTATAGAAATAAATGAGAATTCCATTAAGGAGGAAGATCTCGAGAAGGAGGTGGTACTAATTGAGCAACTCTCCACCGACGATAACAATGAGGCCGTCGAGAAGGTCAAAAACATATTGAAAAAGTCACCCAACAAGGTTGCCGACAATGCCACAGACAAGAGACGCCGCAAAGCCGACACCCTGCTGCAGTCCAGCAAACAAAAACTGGACATATCAATAGCTGAGGCATCTGCAGCAGCGGATGGAGTTAACGATCGGCAACTGCAGTTGGCGCAGCCGACTGTGGCCGTCATCGATCAACCGCAAACTAAACGTGAAATTGTGATCTACGATACTTTGGAGGAATTCGATCAAAATTTACCCTCAACTGTGACCCTATTGAATACACCGTTTGGCAGTAAGGTCTACTTGGTGGGCACGGCGCATTTCAGCGAGGAATCACAGGATGACGTCTCTTATGTGAGAATACCAACGATTATATTTAAGTTAATCCAATTTATGTTAATCTGTTTTCAATTGCCATCCACAGGTCATTCGCAATGTCCGTCCAGATGTGGTCATGGTGGAGCTATGTCCCTCCCGTGTACACATACTCAAACTCGATGAGAAGACGCTGCTGGAGGAGGCCAAGAATATCAATATACCCAAGGCAATTAACCAAACGCATATCTTCATAATATTTATATTCTAATGCATTTAAATACCCCGCAGATACGTGGCATTCTGCAGACCCATGGCTATATCAATGGCATCTTCTTTATTCTGCTGCTGCAGATGAGTGCACAAATTGCCAAGGATTTGGGCATGGCACCGGGCGGTGAGTTTCGTCGCGCCTTCGAGGAGATACACAAGCTGCCCGGCTGCATTTTGCATTTGGGCGATCGACCTATACGCATCACACTTTATCGTGCTCTGCGCGCTCTGTCGTTGTGGCAGACCATGAAGCTGGTGTGGCGTCTGACCTTCACGGACAGCATCAGCATCGAGGAGGTGGAGGAGTGCAAGAAGCAAGATCTGCTTGAGAAACTTATGCAGGAAATGGCTGGCGAGTTTCCAGCCTTCTCAGATGTATTTGTACGCGAACGTGATCTCTATTTGTGTCACTCGTTGCAATTGGCGGCATTGCCGCAAGCGGCACCCGGTGCCCATCAGGTGCGTCCCGTCCGAGTCGTTGGCGTAGTTGGCATCGGACATGCCAATGGCATTGCCAAGATGTGGGGCCAAGTCGATCCCGAGAAGATACCAGCCATACTAGAAATACCACAGGCCAGCCTCAGTCAGCGGCTGTGTAAGAATACATTAAAGTATGGACTCCTCGGACTGGGCGTCTATGGCGCCTTTCGTTTCATGCGGCCGCGTCTGACGCGTTTCTTTTAACTTTCATTCAGATGCATGTTTTTCTATATATATTTGTTGAATTTATTTTCGTTATTAAGTGACAAGCCCGGCACCACTTGAAATGGGCATTGAAGACATGATAAGTATTGTCAGTAGTACTTGATGCTTTTGATAGAAAGTGTTTATACGCAATCACAAATATAAATATATATGTATATGTACACATATATGTATATACTATGTGTGCAAACCAAAAGAAAAAAAGAAAAGACATTCAAACATATTCCTGGTTTTAAAAACCCAACAAAAATGAAACTATCAAAATGAAAATAGATATGCACAAGTACACGATATATATCTATATATATATATATAGCTGTGTACTGGGCTTTAGATATCGCGACTGTGAATACGATTATATCAATTCATATTCAATTGTTTTACAAAAGGACTTAATTTTAAACTGTTGCTGCATAGTTGTTAAAGAAACATCACGCAAGGAATACTTTCTATATATTATTATGATTACTATTCATTTTTTTTTTTGACCAGTTAGAAGTCGTAGTTGCAGGATTAAATGGTTTCTGGACAGGCTACAAGAACAAAAGATAAGACAAAGCGAATGTTGATTACATGAGACATAAAATTATTTTTGAACAAAACTCTAAATGTGAACGTGCCCGAGCCCATAAGCAGCTGGAAACACTTTATCTTTCGACTTATCCATATGTATGTAAATGTTATTCATTCCGTAGTAGAAAAACTCTGAAATTTTAGACACTAAGTGGAAACGTGATGGACCTTCGATATTGGAAGTATGTATGGCCGTATGTTAAATGTTGCATATTATATTGAGGAATTTTACAATAAAAAATAAAACAAAAACAACAAACAAAAAATCTAAACTAAAAACAAAACAAAAAAGAACCTACCTAGATGTACTTTATTAACAATAACTACAAAAACATATTTGAACTGTATCGTGAAAAAATGGTATTAAAAATACAAGCCAACTTGTTTGACGCTGCGTAGTTTGTGCTAATTTAGTACTGGTGTTATTTAGCATTTAAAATAGTGAACCACCCGAAAAACACTCAACATCCCACTTTGTGTATAATTGACTCAAATAAAAGTTTACATACCAAAAAAAAAAAAACTTTTTTCATTTAAGGGAAATTTTTTAATAAATTTGTATTTCAATCATAGAAAATTAGAATATATGGTTCAATGATTATATTTGCAAGCACCATAGTTATGGATTTTTGTATCCTTACCATATATACCATATATATAGATATATTGCCATATGTATACGTCAACAGCCCTATCATAAAAATCCCCTCATTAAAAGCGTTACCAGCCATAAAAAGTTCATTAACGATAAGAGATTGCCACACAAATTTCCCTGTATGGACCCCTACCACAAAAACACCCGTATATGTTTTGCAAATACCATTACGACACCCATATTAAAATCCTTAATGTAAATTTCCCTATATAAAACAGAAATCTTATAAATACCCCTATATAAACGGTGAACATAGAAATAACCTTACCTAGACGATTAGAATACAAAGCGCGTTGCAACTGACACTATGACTAGATGATTACCATACAAACACCCCTATATATGTTGAATCTTGCTACACACACTCTTATAAGTATAATTCCCTATATTTAGCAGATGACCAAGACCTTGCAACTCTCAGTTTTACATGCATTTCCATATACTTACTCTATAAATACAATTTACGCCAATTCTATGAAAGCTCTAATATGATTCGGATCCACATACATCATATCCTGATATATCATATTTAGATTCTGGCATATGTAAAAATGTTTTACACATATACATATACACTGCGTTTGTTTTGTTTTTATTATGTACTTTAAACGTATCTTAAGCACTAAACGTCTCTCTTGAGTGTGTGTATGTGTGTAGTTGTTTTTGCCATAAATCTTGCGTTTTTCGTCTCTCCTTACTAATTTTGTTTTTAAGTTAAAAATTCCAACATGTTTGTGTTTTTGTTTTTTTTTTTCTTTTAGTTTTGTTTTTGCGCTTATATGTAGATAACATATTTTTTCTCTTACAATTTGCTGCAATACAAATAAAAGTCTTAAATTGTAACTGTAAAATTCTAAATAGTTACAAATTAAATACTAAATACATACGTAGTTAATTTTGAGGTGTGTGTTATGTGTATGTGTGTGTTTGGGAAGGGATTTCTTGTATGTTTTTTAAGTATTTTTTGTTATGTTTTGTATTTGTTTTTTTTTTTTCGTTTTTTTTTTTAAGGTTGGTAATGCAAATATGTATCGTATTTTAAATTATAACTTAGAAACTTGGAAAAATTCAAATGAAAGGCTGGGCGCAGTTGTTCACAGAGTAAGCCGCAGTTGCATGTGATTTATGTTTGCTTCGTTTCGTTTGTTAAATTGGCGGATTACAACGAAAAGTTTACAGAATCACATTGTAAGCACGTGTTATCCAGTTAAGTTTCTATAGCTGTTGGACTCCCATTTCGCTCCATCTGCTCCTCCCTGTGAGCGCTTCCACTGCCCGTTGTCACACCAGTTTTTGTTGCTGTTCGTTGGTTGTTGTTGATTTTTTTTTTTTTTTTTTTAATTAAATTTATTTAATTTTTAAATGTTGTGTGTGTGTGTGTGTGTGTTGTTTATGCCTCCAGCTAAGGATGCAGCAGCAGCAGCCAGCCCAGCCTACGGCGTCTCCGTTGACTCGACCTTCACTTCAGATTTAATGCTCGATGACAGATGGTTATTAGGGTCGGGCGCACTCAGGTGCTAAAAGCAAGATGTGAATATCAATTAGAAATGCATTACTTCTCAAATTACAACAATTATAATAGTACGTACGCATGTATGCATATATGTATGTATGTATATGATATATATACTAGGGTATATATATATATTTATATTGTTTATATATGTATGTATAAAACGTAAGAGGTGTTAGTAGACCCTAGCCTAGGCAAACAACAACTAATGACCAATATAATAATAACAAACAACATCAACATCAACAACAACATGAAACAACAACAACAACACAAGCTAGACCACACACATACACACACACACTTACAGTATATGGGGGCACAAACAACAATTTTCAATATTTCAGTGGGTTTTCTATTAATTTTGTTGTTTGTACTTATCTCTCTTTTTTTGCACACGCACACATACACGCACACGCACGCACACAACACTCACTGTTGGCTGGTGGTACCTACCGATTGGCTACTCACAATCCCGAGCGGCAATCCACCAACTTGCGGCGACAAATGCGGCACAGTTGGCACGGCTGCATTTTGTGGTGGTACCGTTGATGGCAGGAGCGCAGCAGCCGCTGCCGCCGCGGCGGCCACAGCGACAGCAGCCGCTGTCACAGAGTTGTTGCCGGTTGCGGTCGGTGGCGGCGGAATCAAGGCAGCGCTGCTTGCGCTATTGCCGCTGCTGCCAATGCCGCCGACGACGACGCCGCTGCCGCTGCCGCTGCCAAGATTTGTTGTACTGTGGGGACCATCGTGCGGTGTGGTGCTGTGTGCCCGATGTTGCAGTGCGCCTGTATAATAGCCGCCATTTAATCCTGTTTTGTATTTCGATTTGTTTGTATTTGGTTGGTATTTAGGTAAAGTTAATAATATGTTGCTGTTTATCTTGGTATTATCTTAATATTCTTTAGAGGAAAGAGTTGGGAGTTGAATGTGGGGGAGATTTCGGTTATATTGAATTGTATCTCAATTTTTGTGGTGGCTGCGTGTGGTCTAAGAGAAGGACAAGTGGCGAATAGGAAATAGCTATAYATACATACATACACACATATCTATTTATGTTATAAATATGTATGTATGTATATATATATATGAGATGCGAATGAGTTCAGAACAGGCGCCTACACAACTAGCTCCCAGCTGATCAAATGTGTTCTGCTCTTCTTTTCTTTCTTTTTCTGTTTGGTTTGCTTGCTTCTTTCTTTATATACAATGCGACCTATATAGACTATAATATGAGCTATCAATTCCGTTGGCCAACGTTCATAAATTACTGACTTTCGATTTAGTGTTTTTCGTGGAACTTGAACAACTAAGTCTAATGTGTATCTTATCGATATCTTAACGATATTAATTTAAAGCTTGCTCTGCTCTGCACTCAAATGATGCCATCATCCCGAAAATCGAAAATATAGTAAATGTAAATTTATAAAAATAAAAATAAAAAATAGATAAATTTAACTAATGGACTTGTTAAACAATTTTGCAGCAATGCGCCACACAAAAGCAACAAAAATTGGTTCTTAAAGTTTTTTCTTTTATTTGTTTTTTCTTTTTCTTTTATCTCTCGTTTTTTTCTTTATATTTTCTGGAAAGGTTTTGTTGGTTGTTCTTTTCTTGAAATTAACTTGCTCTGTTTTTAATTGATTTTTTTTTTTTTTTACTTTTTTTGTTTAATTTTATTTAGCTTTCACAGTTATTAAAAATATTTTTTATACATTACAAAATAACAGTATTTTATTCTTTTTGTCTCTTTTACTTTTACTTTTACGCTTAGGCTTATTAATTTCCTTTCATTTGCTCAGTTTTATTTTGTTGCAGCTTGTTTATATACTCGTAGGATTGTGTGTGTCTATATATATATATATATATTATATACGTGTAAGTGTTGTGTGTGTTGGGTTTGTTTGTATATGCGAGTGTGGGTGTATACATATAAATATATATATATTTAGATTTGTGTGTGTTTCTATGCGTATTTATGTTTTGTGCTTGAAATTTAACAAATTTTGTCAGCTTGAAAACAAAATAAAGTACATCAATAAAATAAGAAATAAAACTTTTGATGCATTCATTATATATTATTTTCTCATAAGGAATATTGTTTGTTGTATGTTCTGCTTGAATTGGTCTTGAGCGAAAATTAATAAAGAATAATTGTGAAAAATTGGCGTCAATTGCATTAATTGTTTAATTTTTAACTTAAATTGCGAAAATTTTACAAAATTATACTTTGCGCCGTTTTTTGTTTGTTTGTTTGTTTTTTTTTTTTTTTTTGTAAATATTCTTACATTTTACACGCTAACAATTCTTAGATTTACCGACTACTCGGTTGATCATAATGTGCTGTGTTTCCTTTCTTTTTTGTATTTTTTTTTTTTTTTTTTTTTTTTTTTTTTCTCAATAATGTAAATCTAGGGCTTTAATAGTATTTTTTTTTTTACTTTGTTTTTAATATAATTTCTGTTATGTTTTAAATGTACATAGACTATGCATTAATATTACTTTTCTCTCATTTTTTTCTGTTCATATTATTAATTTTATATTTATTTATGGATGTGGTTTAATTATATTAACGCGCCGTGTTGTAGTTTTCAATAATTTGTGTGGGTGTGGGTGTGTGTTTGTGTGTGTGTATGTGTGCAGTATATATATATATATGTGTGTGTGTTGTTGTTGTTGTGTATAAACGTATTTAAATAATTACTTCTGTTCTGGTCTCAGCATATTTAAGATCTTAAGGCAAGGCGAAAATAAACACGGATGATGAGATCATTTTGCATTTTGCATTTAATAGAGCAGTGCATTGAGATATTTTCTTTTTTTACAAAGGTTGTGTTTTTAATTTCAAATTGATTAGCAAATCATATATATAGCTATATATATATAAATATATCTTAACGGAAAGTCAGTAATTTATGGCGCAAAATCAATTGATTCTTATAAATAATACGTTTTCTCGCTTGATTATTACAAAATCTTTGAGGCATTCGGAAGCTACTGATATTTGTATATAAAAGATGTCTATCGCTTGTGGTTAGTTAGTAAATATTACAACGTATAATACGATATATGCATATATATATATTTATATA